TCACGGGACTTCTGGTCCTGCTCCCAGGCCCTCTCTGTCCCTCCTGGTGTCCTGTCCTTGCTCAGGCCGCTCTCCTTGTCCCTTTATGGCTTGGTAGTGTCTTTCCTTCCTTTGAAGACTCACTGCAGAGCTGTGAGAATGACCTTGGAAGCCAGTCCCTCTGCCTCGTCCTGCCTGAGCTCAGAGCCTCTAGGTCATCAAGCCACGGCCTGGTTCTGTCCTGGTAAAGGCCGGCCGAGCTGTGCCTTCTGACCCTCTGTTGCCCCAGGAAGTTACCCGCTCACCGGCTCTTTGCAGGTGTGGCTGGAGCTTGGTGATTGGAACGGAGGCTCACATGCATTTTCTTCACCGCACACACCCTCGCTGCCCCTCACTGTCCCCCCTTTTCCGTGTATTCTTTCCTTCCTTGTATTTTGCAGTGGTTTTATGATGGTTCTACCTCCTGGTAAGACGTTGCAGCTGGCTGGTCTTAATGAGCGCCGTGCAGTCCCGGCCCTCCTGCGGCTTCCTGCCCTAGTTCAAGTTCGTCCCTGTGACTCGGGGAGCAGTGGGAAGCAGGAGACGCAGTCCTCAGCAGCAGCTCCCTGCACTTCTTGCTAAGTGGATCATGACATTTGCAAGCTGGGGAGGGAGAAGGAGGCTGGGTAGGAGTGAGTTCCCTGTTTTCTGCAGTGACCTTCTTGTTCAGGTGCATAAAACAATTTAACCCTATATATATATATATATATATATATTTTGCAATTGGGATTCCTCTGCCTTCTATGGAAGATAGCGGGTCTGGGAGAGGCTCAGGTTGTCTTGGGGAGCACAGGATTTGGTGAGGGTGGTGTCCTCTGACCCGCTGGGCTTGCACAGGCCTCCCTTATCAGACAGGTCTTCTGTGGGGACTGGGCCCCATGGGAATGGGCCGTCTGTGGAGAATGCTGAGACCGTGACTCTAGGCAAGTGGCAGTTGGGGCAGTGTATGGCTTTTAGCAGTCATCATTCGCATTAAAATTCCTGAAGGCCTTTTCCCCTAATTTCYCAGACCAACGTGCCATCCAGAGAAGACCTACGCCGTGTGCCTGAGGCAGCTTCCAATCCAGAGCTTCTCAGTCCCTTCTCTTCCTGCTCCTCCTCCTAGGAGCCAACCCACAAGAGCTTTTAGATCTCGTGTCTCCCCGGGTGCCCTACTCACAGGGAATGGTAATAGCACAGAGAGACTGTATTTCTGCTTGTGTACTGTGGCCCCAGAAGAGCCACAGGCCATTACCATACAAGAATATTTGCCCCCCTAAGAATCCACTTTGCCCCACTTTGCTCCACTTTGCTACGTTCTCTGTTGAGTGTGCACACYCTGGTCGGAGACCTTTGGCCATCCAACCCCAGCTGTGCCTAGTGGAGGTGACTTGGGGTGAGCAGAGGTCTGGTGTCCCTATGTGACTGTGCCTGTCTGAGGCTTGGAGTCACCTGGATCACYTGGAAGATGTCGAATGCCGAGAAAGTGGCCCAATCCTTCCCTGTCTTCCCCTTTTTAAAGTACGGATGACTCTTTGGACAAACATCCTGTTCTGCATTCAAGGTAATCTTCACTTCCTCTTARCGAGGGCGGTTATTAGATTCAGAGGCACAGCGATTTACAGCCCTGGGGAGGACGGCCTGTTGCTAACCAGAACAGGCAGCCGGGACACATGGTGCCCTCTCTGCCTCTGCAGGCGGCCAGTGGGGCTCTGTTGAGTGAGGATTTGCTCATCTGAATGGCACGACRGCCGCTCTTGGCGGCTTGACTTCGCTCTGATGCTTACCAGGGAGGGTGAAATTCTGGATCCCTGCCTCCTGCTGAGTGTGAGGGAGAAATTGATTTCCTCGCAGTAGTAGTTCATCGACTGTCCCGCCCCATTTGGTGGCTTAATCTTTCCTTTCCCACTCACTTGCCACGCCTCCCTGATTCATTCCAAAGTTGTATCCGCACTGGGATCTGTTTCTGGACCATTTGTTCTGAATTATTGACATCTCGGTGATGACGTCTGCCTGGATTTTGGAGATAGGGTTTGAATGACTGTCCTCGGAGGCAGGCGCACTCTGAGAGCGGATTGACTGATGGGCCTGCCTTGTGGCAGACTCCTGTGTGCAGATGCCYGGGCTGTCTCTGCTGGCCAAGAAAAGGTTGTGATGGGCTCCTGGAGGWGGTGCCCTCTCTAGCAGTTCCAAGGGTGCAGAATGCCACCCTGACGATTTACCAAGGCACCAGCAGTGCCCTGAAGGCTCAGTTTTGTGTGTGAAGTTAACTAATTCCACCTTTTGGGTAGTACCAGGCATACCACGAAGGATCCAAGAAATGCTGAATTGCAAAGGGGAACCCAGCAAGAGACAGCACATCTTCTCCGCACTGCACAAGTACATCCCGAGTGCTGGGTACAGTGTGGACTATACAGAGACGCTGCAGACCCGATCCCTGACCTTGCAGAGCTCCCAGTCCAGGTGGGAGACAGATGTGCAGGTCAGGGGATGGGATGTAAGGTGCATGTAGTTAATAGGAGGTGCAGAAGAATGTTTGACCAACTCTGCCTGAAGAGCAGGAAAGGTCAGAAATTAAAAAAAAAAAAAAAAAAAAAAAAGGAGAACACAATGTGTCATCTCTGTCCTCGAGCACAGACGGTGCTCCCCAGGTGGACAGACGGGGGAGGGCACCCAGGGGAAAAGAAAGGGTGCAGAAGAGGGAGGGAGGTGGGAGCATGGTGGGGCCTTCTGGGTGTTGGCAAACATGCTCTTATGGCTTGGATGTGAGGCGTACCCAGGAGCTCCTGTATTAATTCAGGACTTGGACATGACTGGATTATGAGGGCTGTGTGGATCCATCCTAGTTTGAATGGACTTACAGTGTGGTAACTGTAGGCGGGTGGGGTGAGGCCAGAGGAGAGGGTCACTGGGTGGGTCCTGTGTGTCTTCCCAGTGTCCCTTTCTCTCCCCCCYGCCTCTGCTTTCTGATCCCACCATGAACTGAGCAGCTGTCCTCTGCTGGGCCCTTCTGCCACGATGTTCTACCTTACCTCGGGCAATGGAGTCCGCCTGAGACCTCTGAAACTGTGGAGTCCCAAATACACTTTCTCTCCTCTAAGTTGTTCTTGCTGGGAATTTTAGTCACAGTGACACAAAAACTAAGTAGAACAGATGCCACTGAAGTTTATAGAGCATGATCGGATTTGCTTTGGGGGAGGTGATCTCAGCACTGTATGGAAGAGAGCTTGAGGTGAGAGTGTGCSGAGAAGAAGGCCATTCCACTGGTCATAGGACATTCATCACTCGGGGTATTGACCCTTAGACTTATTGTCCCTCCATGGTTGTCAGAAAGGGAACCATCTATTGGAATATGAGGCAGATGGGGCAGCCACAGGTAGACAAGAGGTGAGACTTGGTGGTTAAACTTATGTTGGGTGACAAGGTGAAGATGACACTTCTATCAGGTACAGCTGTGGAACTTGAGGTCCAGGGAGGAGCATGTGTGAGGTGTGGCCATGTTAACTGGGAGGTACTGGTTCTGGGTGGGCTTTTTGGTGGAAATACAGTTGTGCATTGGTTAATGGCAGGGATACACTCTGAGATATATATATATATATATATATATATATATATATCAGTACCCTGTAGAGTGTACTTACGCAAACCTATAGCTGAGAGACTGACATGGTGGCCTTGTGCATCTGGACCCGATTAAACTCTCACTCTTAATATGACAGAACAGTTTCATTGACAAATTTGTCACTAATGCTTCTCAATTTGCATATTTCTATCTTGTTAGTCAGCTTCGCATTGCCATGATCAAAAGACTTGACAAGACCAACTCAGAGGAGGAAACATTTCTTTTGGGCTCACAGTTTCAAAGGTTTGGTCCCTGGTCCTCCAACTCCATTGCTTTTGGGCCTTAGGTGGGCAGAACATCATGGTGGAGGGGTGTGGTGGGCGTTAGGTGGGCAGAACATCATGGGGGAGGGGCCTTAGGTGGGCAGAACGTCATGGTGGAAAGCAGCTCAGCTCATGGCAGCTGGGAAGCAGAGTGACAGAGAGGAGCCAGGGATGAGATGCTGTCTCTGAGGACACTGCCCCAGAGACTCACCTGCTGCAGCCATGCCCCACCCACCTACAGGTACCACCTGGTTGTCTGCACCAGTTGTTAATCCATCAAGTGTCATTCTATCCACCAGCGAGGCTACAGCTCTCATGATCCCATCCTCTCACCTTGGAACATTCCTGCATTGCCTAACGCAGGTGCTTTGGCAGGACACGTTTGGCAAGAGCCAAACAACAACTATTGGCTACTGTACAATAGGCTATAGGGTGTGTGTGTGCATGTGTGTGTGTGTGTGTGTGTATGCGTGGGCACGTGTGAATTACAGCCTGCTGCTTCTAAGGCCATGACACAAAAAAACAACGTGAAATTAATCCAATCACGAGAGAAAAAACGATGCGAGCAGGAGGTGTGAACAAGAGGTGTGAGGTTGCTTCTGCACAAGCGTCCCCCTGCTCTTCACTCTCAAGTAAAGGAAAGGGGTGGACAGTCCACACGCACCAGAGCACTCACCTGTTACCGCTGTCTGTCAAGCAGTCTGTGCTGGACGTGGGCGTGACCGGCAGTGCAGTGCACGGTGTGTCTGCACCAGCATCTGCACAGATGTGCTGATGGTGCATTGGGCTGGGACACTGCAAGGATGGCTGTGTCACCAGGCGATAAGAACTTTTCACTTCCTTGATAATCCCTTGTGTGTGCCTCGCTGACCAACGCAATGTTCGGGGGCACGTGACTGCACTAGGGTTAGGAACGTGGGTAGTAGATATGCCAGCAATGCTGGTTTCTCCTGGTACTGGGGTGTTGTAAGGACGTTGGACAATTTCCAGCAGTGCCTCCAGCTCTTGTTCACTTCCTGAGGTCAGGCCAAGGCGAAGAGGGTGGAGGTGTTTACTGCAGGGTGCAGGAGGTCAAGTTCAGCCACTTTTCCACTTACAGCCATGTCTCTTTCTTTCAGGAGATGGCCAGGTGGATTTTGATGAATTCATGACAATTCTTGGGCCCAAACTGGTGTCTTCAGAAGGTCGTGATGGTTTTCTTGGAAACACAATAGACAGCATATTCTGGCAGGTAAGAACATTTTTTTTAAAGGTTAAATTTGACAGAAATGTGTGCCTGGAACTGACTTAGTCTGAGTTCTTGAGCTTCTGTGCAGCACACGAGCTCTCTTCTGAGAAGGGGGCGACGTGCCTCAGTTAAGGTCGATGCTGCGTCCTCTGATCCAGGAATGGGAACTCCACTCATTTGAGGTTCAGTGGGGTAGGACATCTCCCCTCTTGATAGCAAGACTTTTGCCTTGGGGAGAAAGGAGATTCCTCCACTTCAGATTCTTTTTCCTGGAGACATTTAAAAAGATACCTTGATCTCTGACCCAGTTCTGTTCTTGACTCTGGTTCCAGGAGGTCCTTGCTGAGGGCCTGGCGTGGTGGCCTCGTGCATCTGGACCCTATCACGCTCTCACTCTTAATATGACAGAACAGTTTCATGGACAATTTTGTCGCTGATGCCTCTCAATTTGTTTATTTCTGTCTTGTAAAATCGCTTAGGAGACTCCTCATATCTACATTCTAATTAGAGTTCTACGAAATGATTTTTCACATTAGTTCTCTAATTTTGAAATGTAAATATTATTTTGTGAAATTTGGGAAATGGTTTGTAATCATTATTTTAATAATTTGAGTCAAATAAATTGTCAAGTTAAATTGAATTACTGGTTAGGCACGTAAAACACTGTGCCAACACAGTACGGTTTCTTTAATTTCTTGATATGACTTTTCCTCTGCACCAGGGCTATTTCTGTGACCTAGTAAGGGTTCCAGGTGACAAGTCTCTCTTGTCTTATTCTGTCACTCAACTTGCATTTAACCAACAAGTATTGACTAAGAGCTTGTTGTAAACCCTGAAGGCTCATCGGTCATTGTGAGTTTTACAAAAAGCRTTCAAGACCAAGTCCTGGCCATTTAAGAGTTTGGCGGAAGGAATGCAATTCAGAGAGAAAACAAAGGAGTGGTGAATGGGTGTGGTGGTCACCAGACTGTACTGTCCTTGAAGCCAGGACTTCACGTCAGAGCCCCTTGGCCTGGCCCATGGCCCACAGGGGCCCTCAGTGGTGGAGTGAACAGAGGTTCCCGAAGGCAGGGAGGCATGGTCTTGGGGGCACAGAGGAGGCTTTGCAAAATGGCGCCACTTGCTTTGTTCCTTGAAGTACCAGGAAGCTCTCGGGAACCCCACTTGCCAGATGGAGAGAAGCATGGGTGACGGCAGGTACGGTTGCAGGCCTGCTCCCTGAGTGTCAGAAGGGGGGTGCAGTGAGGATGGGGTGATTTAGGCCCTGTGGGCAGAATGGACAGGGGCCTGAGGGGAGCCAAGGGGGGACRCTGCCACAAATCTCCCAACTCACTCTTACAAACAGGGCCACAGACACGCCTTCGCAGAGGAGGATTTTAGATTGGACATGCAAAGTGGGAGGGGTGGACAGCCCTTAGGGTCTGGAGCATCAGGAGGCTGCACTGGAGACCCAGAGGTGGGATTCCCGAGAGCCGCTGGGTGAGCTCTCCAAGGGAAGCCATGTGGCAGGGGACAAGCAGAGACAAGGCCAGGTCCCGGAGGAGGTCCTGCGGCAGCAGGGGCACAGTGCTGGTGCACACTGATGTTGGGTTCTCACTGGGGTCAGGAATCTCCCTGGGACCCCACTCCATGTGACAAGAGTATTCCTCTGCTCCYGTAGCCCTCCAGTTATGCCGTGACAGTTGGAAAGACAGACAGAACTGGAAGGGAGCACAGAGAGATGATGGAGACCTCGCTCCCCTGGCCGTCTCCCAGCCCAGGCGGGTCCACTCCTCAAGGGCACCTTCCCTTCCTGACGTCCCTCTCTGTTCGCCCCCAGTGCTTCCTACCGTGGCCACCCCCAGGGCCACTCTGATCTACAAGAATGCTCCAAGGCCCTGAGTGCTCGTCCAGGCTGCACACTGAGAGGAAGGAGCCCTAACCTTCCCCCTCACCCGGCTCACTTCTTGCTCACTTCTTCCAGGGTCTCCACRGAGTGCCCCCAGGGCAAGCGTCCCTCTCACACTGTGCTGATGGCCTCTGGCATGACTGGGACACGTTAACGTGCTCACAGACACTCCGTGTATCCATTTTACCAAAGASCCTTGTCCTGGCCCAGGGTGGCAAGATGGGGCGTGGGAAAGAGCAGAGGAAGACATTCCACTCTGAACACGGCAGTGAGGCCAGAGAGGCTGCACAGAGCTGCTCTCTCCCGCTGTGCTCACAGGCTCAGAGCTTACGGCTCAGTGAGCAGGAGCAGGAGCGGCTCTCAGTCCTCAGTGCTCAGCCTCCCCTGCCTCCCCTGCCGCATGCCCACGCAGAGGCAGGAAGCAGTTTGCAGAACATCCTGAGCCCCCAGTCTTCCTGGGAGAGGCTCACGCCCCTGGGGCTTGGGGGGTTTCCTGGTTTAAACCAAAGCTGTGGGGGTGTGTGTGTGCATGTCTGCACGTGTGTGCACCTGCACGGGTGTGCGTCTGCACATGTGTGTGCGCCTACACGTGTGCACCTGCTTTGCCACAGTGGCTGCAGGTAAGGGGAGCAGGGAGAGGAGCAGATGGTCAGCTTTGTGCCCATGGTGCCCAGGCAGGGATGCTGATCAGGAGGAGCTGGTGCTCTAAAAGGTCCATCCTGCGTAGGAGGCTCCACCAGGCTTCCCGCCAGAGACAGGTTGCCATGGAAACAGATACACGTTGCTTACCTGGAAGGGAATATCTGTGGTTTATGGGTGCGTTAATAATGCATCACACCAAAGTCTAGAGACAGAGACAACCGTAAAGACGTACTGTGCCACGTGGAGTCTGTGGGCCAGGAATTGGAAGGCGCCGTTGCTGGGTGGCTCTGGCTCAGGGGCTCCTCGGAGGGTGCTGTCCAGGTATGGGCTGGTGCTGCAGCCATTGGAAAGTTTGGCTGCTCCTGGAGGATGCACTTGGAGCTGGCTCGCTGGCATGGCTGGCAAAGGGGTGCCAACTCTTGACAGAGGCTTCAGGTACCCGAAGGGGCCCCTCCACAGTGCTGCCTGCCCATCCCCCTGACCTGGCAGCTTCCCYCGAAGCAGAAGCTGCAGCAACTTTTATGACCTGACTTTGGAAGTTAACTCCGTCATTTCTGCAGTGTCCTTYGGTACACAGGCCCTGCCCATCCAGGGTGAAGGGCCTGGAGGCAGGAACATTGGGGCCTTGTGGAGACTCTACCAGAGAGGGCCCAGCTCCCGTAACTGGGCTCCTTCAACCCAGTGTTGCTCCCTCGAGCCTTGGTTTGCCCCAGGCTTTGAGGAAGCCTGAGGTCAGGGCTGCTCTCTGGGTCTCCTAGGCAGAGGCTCATCTTCCTAATCAAATCTGTTCTGTGCTCTTTCCTTACCAGCATTCTAGCTTTCACTGTCAGGGGTAAAATAAAATCAAATGGAATCTGCAAAAACAACTATTTATCGCTTAGCGCTAGTCCCGAAATTATGAGCTCCCGGCTCTCTGCAGGAAATTGGTGTCTGTGAAGGTGGAATTTAACTGGCTACAAATACAGCTGCTTCCTAAGGAAGAGGCCCCCGTGATGTGGCACTGAGCACCCAGCAWGCAGCCCCCTGGGGGAGGCTCACCAAGCTCCCACACCCAGCTCGAGAGCCTCTGTGACTTTACCGTGTTTGCACTAGCCTCTCGTCAGGTCTCCGTGTCTGCTGGTTCTGCCAGCSGTCCTCTTGGAAGGGGGGTGTGAACTGTTTGAAGTTGGCTGGGTCCTGGTGTGTGGCAATGACAGAGAGGAGGGAAGGAAGAGCCGGGGGCCCACTCKGGTGGGTCTGGCCTTCGGCTTGTGCTGCAGGTCCACGGTGGTGGCTAAGTGCSGTCCTCGGGGCATTGCTGCTCTGCCATCCCTCTGAGCCACACACCAGAGCCCAGTTAGGTCTCAGAATGAGTCTGAGAGGATGGTGRAGGCCCGAGAGGCCCAGGAGCGAGGCCCCCACSRTGTCACACACAGCCTGCGAGGAGCCTTCCTTCTCCCTCSGCCAGGACATCTGCGCGGCCAGGGCCAGGACAAGCTGAGCAGCCTGGGAGGTGAAGCAGTGCTGCCCACAGGGCCTGGTACTCCTGGTAAACTCCTCTCCCTCCCAGGGCAGGGGAGTGGGCCTGGGCCGGCCTGTGTGTGTGCCCTGGCTGGGGCTGCCCTGGGGCCCAGGCAGGGGGTACCCTGAGGCACAGGCAGGGGGTACCCTGAGGCCCAGGCAGGGGGTGCCCTGAGGCCCAGGCAAGGGAACCTCTGGGGCCCAGGCAGGGGAGCCTCTGTGGGCGGGTGGGCCAGGTTCCTGCTCTCATGGCCCCAGTCAGCCACCTCACCAGCGTTTGCTGGTGTCGGGTTTCTGTTTTGAGAAATGAAACACATGCAGTGTCAGCAGACAGAGCTGCCTCTGGACTGCCCAGGGGGTGGGAATGCGTGAGGGGGACAGGACGTCCAGGGTGCCTGCTGCTCAGCTGTAGGGGGACAGGACGTCCAGGGTGCCTGGTGTGCTTAGGCGATGCTCTGCAGAGCTCCTGGGGCCAGGGAGCGGAATGCAAGCTGGTCATTGCCACAGAGGGATGTGCGCGGTCACCACCCAGCCTTGGTCCAGGTCTAGGCSGTTTGCCCACCACCTTGCTATGGCCCTGGTGATCCTCCCTCAGGCTCCRCAACCTCCTCTGTGGGAGATGCACAGGTGAGGCAAACACCTGCCAGTGCTCCCCCCACTTGGCCTCCTCCCCACCCAAGTCTGGCCCTTGCCTGCCTCCCGCCTCCCTGGTCATCGTCCTCTGGTTTGGTCCTGACTGAGTCCTCCCCAGCCCAAGGCCATCGTCCACCTGGGGCGCTGGCAAGCTGGCTCTGCTGTCCTGCTGAGGCAGGCAGAGAGCATCGTGGCCTTGTGACTCGGCAGCTCACGGTGCTTTGTGCCCCATGGTCGTGATATGGGAGAGGGCACCCATATCGAGGCAGGCTCAGGGGATCCCAGATCCATGGTGCCTTTAAAGACTGGGAGGAAAGACAGCAAGATGCGGGGCGACTCC